AGTGACTTCAAGATGATGTTACACAAAACACTTAACGGCTCCCAGAACTGCTTTAACCCACGCAAACTCTGGACTGGTTCATCAGCAGAGTCGGGCCTGCTTCAAACTATTAACAATTTTTGTTTAATTTTACCAGGCAAGGCCCCACCACTGAGCTACTGTGTAGATCTTTTTCAGAAGCGACATGCCCTTCGCGAACGATAGCTCCACAAAGTGGGCTCATGGTCATCATCACGTGGAAAGTCACAGCAGCAGCAGCCAAACACTCTCACATGCGTGGTAAAGTCGATTCTAAATGTGGAGGTAAAAACCCGACTATGGTGGTGAACTGACAGATGTTTCAATGCCAGGAACCTCCTGCCTGTCCGATAATGGGGTCCAGGCTGAAACGCAAAACTACACAACAGAAAATAACAGCTGTGGGTAATATCACAGATGCATGGTATAGTCGACATAAACTCATGGCTATGGACAAACTGCTCAGAATGCACGTGTGTGTGCTCACCAGATCTCAGAAGCTAAGCAGGCCTTTGAGCCTGGATCGTGCCGAGATGACCGAGGTAGCCAACTAGTCCCCTTCTCAGCGCGATGTCTAGCGGAGACGTTTAGCGACGACGGCGACGACGAGACGAGTTCGCTCCCAGAACCGGCAGCCCCGAGCTCCACGCTCTCAGCTCCTTTTATGCTCCCAGCGCGGCCTGGCTCCGCCCTGACCGCGCCTCCCTTTTCGAACCCGCTAGCAGGTTCCAGGGCCTTCCAGATGGGGTCCTCCATGACCCTTGTCCTAGTTCCTCCGCCCTGCCCACACCCCGTGCTCACGCCCTCACCGGCGTGTGCGCTGTCTGTCCACCGCAGTTGCCGCTGCTGCCCACCAGCCGGAGCTATTACACTACACATGCATCGACACTCAGTGCCACATGTATAGAGTGGACACAAATACAGGACGTGACTATGTATTCAGCATAATGCATTTGTACGGATAGACGACTGCCCCATGTTATATCTATGTACATAGAAATACACTGTAGTATACACACGCATCTGTACTTACATATACAACGGATAGATGTGTGTACATGTACAGACTGCAACATGGAATACCGACATGCAGAGATGTACCAATACACCCGCCATTCGCCACGAAGTGACGGTGACGTCACAAAGGCACATGTGCCAGGCCAGGTGCACGTTGAGGCCACGTGAAGTGTCGAAGGCTCGCTAACAGGACGAGGTCTCGGAACAGACCCAGCAGGTGCCATGGGTTGGCTGACTGAGATGACCCGTAGATGCACCACCAGCTGTACCTCCTACTGTGCCAGGCTAGGTGCAGGAGGTCTCGGGACAGACCCAGCAGGTGCCATGGGTTGGCTGACTGAGATGACCGGTAGATGCACCACCAGCTGTACCCCCCACTGTGCCGAATTGCTCCATTTTAACCGCCCGGCTCTCCGCTCGTTGTTGTGAGCGTCAGAGATGCACATGGTATTATATACAGGCATGTGTTCACATATACCACGTCCTGGTATGTGTACACGTACAGCCTACTGCCCCATGTAATATCTATGCAACGTATCGTGTGGGGTGTGCATGCACAAGTACACGCCATGTACAATGTATAGCAAAAGTGTGTGCGTGTGGAATAAGACTGCACCACACAGACACTATGCACGACGCAAAGACGACGATGTGATAGGTAGGATGCGTTGGACAGTGTTTACATTTTGCCCCACACACATAATGTAACGTATTACCGTAGTGCATACATGCTCCACATGCTTAGTAGACATACTGTACAAAAAAAAAAACAAAGAACCCCCATATAGCCTGTAACAGGCTGTTGGGGCAAGTGCTGTTAGCGAGCACCTATGAAGGCCAGAACGGCACACGAGGGGGTGGGTGGCCAACACCACGCCCGGCCGCCTTTGTCTCCCCAGTGGCGATGTTTACTACACGCCGCACCAGGTACTCATTTGAGGCTGAGTCGACTTAGGGGAGGCCCAGGACCCGGTTCAGATAATTGCCACGTGGTGTTGATGGCCGTGAGCGAGAATCGAACTCGGGTCGCCGGGTTCGTAGCGCAGCGTCGCGCTAACCACTACGCCACCGCTCCCCCGACATGACCAGCATACAAAGACAAAGGCCCCCCGTGTAGTCTCTAACAGACTGTCGGGGCAAGTGCTGTTAGCGAGCAGCAGCAGCAGCACCCTACGAAGTGCTACCGTCACTGTGGCACACGAGAGCAGGGGTGGGTGTTCAGCACCACGCCGTGTGGACAGCACCCACGCCGGGCCGCCTTTGTCTCCCCAGTGGCGATGTTCACACTGCACCACCTCTGCACAGGGTGCTCATTTGAGGCCGAGTCGATCTAGGGGGGTAAGAGACCCAGGCACCCGGTTCAGCACACGTACACGTACAATGCAGCACACGTACACACACACACACACGGCAATCCACCCGTGTATCGGCAGACGTGTGGTTTTTAAACGCGCACACGCACACTGCATTGCCATTACTCGTCACTATTTGACGGGAACCCTCACCGCGGCTACATTCTCGGCATCGTCCCTGCAGTGTCCATGTCGACACGATTCTGATCCTCGTTGTTGCACAGCACGTGAGAATGCGCCGCCCGAGCAGATAGAGGATGAAGATGATGATGAAGATGCGGCCGTGTCACAGCACAGGCTGCTGTGCACGATGAACATGACACGGGCATACACACACACACATGTGTGTACGTGCCCACACACGTGTGTGCATGTACGTACACACACACACGTGTGTGTACGTGCCCACACACACGTGTGTGTACGTGCCCACACACGTGTGTGTGCATATACGTACACACACACACGTGTGTGTACGTGCCCACACACGTGTGTGCATGTCCGTACACACACACGCGTGTGTATGTATGTACACACACACACACGTGTGTGTGTATGTGCGTGTGTGTGTGCACGCCTACACCAACACATCGCGTGGCACTTACCTGGTGCTGCCGTTGTAGGATGAGAGCAGAGAGTGACGTCTGTCCGCCCCTTACATCCCTCGTGTGTGTGTGTACAGCCTACTACACACATACACCTCGCGTGTGTGTGTGTACAGCCTACTACACACACATACACCTCGTGTGTGTGTGTGCAGCCTACTACACACACACACATACACCTCGTGTGTGTGTGTGTGTACACCTCGTGTGTGTGTGTGTGTACACCTCGTGTGTGTATGTGTGCACAGTCTACTACACACACGTACACCCTGTGTGTGTGTGCGCACAGTCTACTGCGTGTGTGTGTGTGTGTACAGTCTACCACACACACATACACCTCGTGTGTGTTTGTACGTGTGTGTGTGCGCACAGTCTACTGCGTACACACACACACGTACACCTGTGTGTGTGTGAGTGTTGTTCGCTTGATTCCCCTTGTCTCTGATGCGTTATCACTGCTGCAGGCAGCCCGACTGTGGCCGACAGAGCGAGTGAGGCTTCTTTATAATAACAACGACGACTCCGACTGGGTTACATAACAGACGTGTCCACACATCGCCAGCGGGCTAGGCGCTAAACGCGACCACCGATACAGATTAATGATTGTTTGTGACGTATCCACGAAATCAACCTGCTCATCGCAGTCCAACTATGGACTAGATATCTTTAAAAAATGTGGTTTATAGTTGGACAAAGCTAAGCCCGATATGATGGTTTGTGTTGCTGTGCTGGTGGTCATCTTCCGTGTGAATGATATACACGTGTGTAGGCCCAACCACTGGGTGTGTGATACACACAGCACAGAGGGTGACAGTCGTGTTAGTCTACACCGGTGTGTGTGTGTGATACACACAGCACAGAGGGTGACAGTCGTGTTAGTGTACACCGGTGTGTGTGTGTGATACACACAGCACAGAGGGTGACAGTCGTGTTAGTCTACACCGGTGTGTGTGTGTGTGATACACACAGCACAGAGGGTGACAGTCGTGTTAGTCTACACCGGTGTGTGTGTGTGTGATACACACACGCACAGAGGGTGACAGTCGTGTTAGTCTACACAGGTGTGTGTGTGATACACACAGCACAGAGGGTGACAGTCGTGTTAGTGTACACCGGTGTGTGTGTGTGATACACACAGCACAGAGGGTGACAGTCGTGCTAGATTACACCGGTGTGTGTGTGTGATACACACAGCACAGAGGGTGACAGTCGTGTTAGTCTACACTGGTGTGTGTGTGTGTGTGATACACACAGCACAGAGGGTGACAGTTGTGTTAGTCTACACCGGTGTGTGTGTGTGATACACACAGCACAGAGGGTCACAGTCGTGTTAGTCTACACCGGTGTGTGTGTGTGTGTGATACACACAGCACAGAGGGTGACAGTCTTGTTAGTCTACACCGGTGTGTGTGTGTGATACACACAGCACAGAGGGTCACAGTCGTGTTAGTCTACACCGGTGTGTGTGTGTGTGTGATACACACAGCACAGAGGGTGACAGTCTTGTTAGTCTACACCGGTGTGTGTGTGTGATACACACAGCACAGAGGGTCACAGTCGTGTTAGTCTACACCGGTGTGTGTGTGTGTGTGATACACACAGCACAGAGGGTGACAGTTGTGTTAGTCTACACCGGTGTGTGTGTGTGATACACACAGCACAGAGGGTGACAGTTGTGTTAGTCTACACCGATGTGTGTGTGATACACACAGCACAGAGGGTGACAGTTGTGTTAGTCTACACCGGTGTGTGTGTGTGATACACACAGCACAGAGGGTGACAGTCGTGTTAGTCTACACCGGTGTGTGTGTGTGTGATACACACAGCACAGAGGGTAACAGTCGTGTTAGTCTACACCGGTGTGTGTGTGTGATACACACAGCACAGAGGGTGAAAGTCGTGTTAGATTACACCGATGTGTGTGTGTGTGATACACACAGCACAGAGGGTAACAGTCGTGTTAGATTACGCCGGTGTGTGTGTGTGTCGATGTAGAAGCACGCCTCACCTGTGTGTAGGAGCACGCCACCTCGAGCCAGCGCTGACAGCTGACTGCGTCAATTGTGAACACAATCCAGAGCTTTCTGCCTCTCTCCCCTCCCTCTCTCTCTCTGTGTTGCACTCTCTCTCCCCGTCTCCCTCTCCTCTCCCCCTCTCCCCGTCTCTCTCTCTCCTCCTCCCTCCCCGTCCTCCCCTCTCCCCGTCTCCCTCTCCTCTCCCCCTCTCCCCGTCTCGCTGTCTATCTGTCGCTGTCTCCCCGTTTCTCTCTCCCCGTCTCCCTCTCCTCTCCCCCTCTCCCCGTCTCTCTCTCTCCCCGTCTCTCTCTCTCCTCCTCTCTCCCCGTCTCTCTCTCCGTCTCCCTCCCCGTCCTCCCCTCTCCCCGTCTCCCTCTCCTCTCCCCCTCTCCCCGTCTCTCTCTCTCCCCGTCTCTCTCTCTCCTCCTCTCTCCCCGTCTCCCCCTCTCCCCGTCTCCCTCTCCTCTCCCCCTCTCCCCGTCTCGCTGTCTATCTGTCGCTGTCTCCCCGTTTCTCTCTTCCCCGTCTCTCCCCGTCTCTCTCTCCCCGTCTCGCCCCCCCCCCCTCTCCTCTCTCTCCGCTCCAGCCCGAATGAAAGTCGTGGTCCAATCACGAACACGCCTTCAGCGTCTCCATCCTGCCCCCCCCCCTCTCTCTCTCTCTCTCCGCCGTCGCTCTCCCAATCGCTCTCCCCCGCACCCTCTCACAGCCACGCCGGGGGGCGCCCTCCACGTGTGCCCGTGTCTGCTGCGTGGGGAGCGGTGGCGCAGTGGTTAGCGCTGCGCTGCGCTACGAACCCGGCGATCCGAGTTCGATTCCCGCTCACGGACAACACCGGTGGCGATTATCTGAACCGGTCCTGGTCCTACCCTAGGTCGACTCAGCCTGAAATGAGTGCGGTGTGTAGTAAACATCACTGCTAGGGAGACAAAGGCGGCCGGGCGTGGTGCTGGCCACCGGCCCTTCTCGTGTGCCACAGGGCCGGCCTTCATAGGTGCTGCTACTCGCTAACGACACTTGCCCCAGCAGTCTGTGCAGGCTACACGGGGGATCTTTGTCTTTGTAATTGGCACCTGCCGTGTGGCAGAGGCCTCCACCTGGAACCCCTCCCAGCAGCCTTGGTCTCCGCGAGCTGATGAAGGCTTCAAGGTGCATCCGATGTGTGGGCTTACCTGGGCTTACCTGTGCTTACCTGTGGGTACCGCGGTGGCTAGGAGATGTCAACTACCTCGCCTGGTACGCAGGAGGGCGTGGGCATCGATCTCGACCCTGACGCCTGCTGCTGCTGTATATTTGGAGTCTGCGTGTCTCTCTCTCTCTCATCATCACGGTGGCTAGGAGATATTAACTAACTCGCCTGGTGTGCAGGAGGTCGTGGATTCTATCCCGACCCTGACGCCCGCTGCTGCATATTTGGAGTTTGCGTGTCTCTCTCTCTCATCATCATCACGGTGGCTGGAAGATGTTAACTACCTCGCCTGGTGTGCAGGAGGTCGTGGGATGGATCCCGACCCTGACGCCTGCTGCTGCTGCTGCTGTATATTTGGAGTCTGCTTGTCTCTCTCTCATCATCATCACGGTGGCTAGGAGATGTTAACTACCTCGTCTGGTATGAAGGAGGTCGTGGGTTCGATCCTGACCCTGACGCATGCTGCTGCTGCTGTATATTTGGAGTCTGCCTCTCTCTGGGTCCTCCGGTTTTTCCCTCCCACGTTTAGAATCGACATCAGAATCAGAATCAGAAATCAGAAACGGTTTTAATCGCCATGTAAGTTTGCACAAACAAGGAATTCACTATGGCGGGACGGTGCATACATTGAACAAGTAGGAATCTTAACTTATATAAAAGGTATACACTCTAACTATACTAACGTTACAAAGTATAAGTAATACCAAAGGGCTAAAATCTTTAAAATTATGAATAAGTAGACCTTATAAAATGCGAATGTAAAATGTTAATTAGCCGTATTAAACAATCTTAAAATACAAAAATACAAATAAGATTACACGTTGTAAGTATGACAAGGTGTAATTATGTAGATAAAATTATGTAGATAAAATGTTATAGTAAGTGTAACAGTCATTTTAAGCCCTTGGCCTTGTTGAGGAGGCCAACAGCAGACATCGCCACGCGTTCAGAGTGATTGGGCTCGCTGGCTCTACGTTCGCACGACGACGACGACGATGATGATGAGAAGCCACTTTCGTTGAGGTATCATTTGCGATAGCCAGATGCCGCTTCTGAAAAATAACTAAGTTGCTCAGTGGAAAAATTAAAATCGTCACAGCCACCTCTGAGACACACTTGAGCGGAGTGCTTTCGCTACGTTGTCCTCACCTGAAGAAGGCCGCTTGTGTTGCGCCCGAAACGTCGTCATTTAATTCAGTTTAATCTTTCTACCTACGTGACTTTACTGAAAAAAACAAAGCGTATGAATCATTGCAGTCACGAAAACTTAAAATCTAGAAGCTCAGTGGAGCCTTGCAGCCTGGTGAAAACAGAGATTAGTGTATGGATTCTAGATTTGAAACTTTCGTGACTGCAAGGATTCATACTCTTAGGTTTTTTTCGGTAAAGTCACGTAGGTAAAAAATAAAATTAAAATTAATAAAAGTAATAATAGAAATAAAATAAATTAATAAATCACGGCGTTTCGGAGGCAACACAAGTCTCCGTCATCAGGTGGGACCGTCACAGCTAAATTTACTGTATCAAGTGAGGAAAATCCAACAGACAAGCCCTTAAATACAAGTTGGATTTTTCACTTGATGCAGTAAATGTAGCTGTGACGGTCCCACCTGATGACGGAGACTTGTGTTGCCTCCGAAACGTCGTGATTTAATATTTTATTTTATTTCTATTATTACTTTTATTTTTGCCTACGTGACTTTACCGAAAAAACCTAGTAGTATTAGTGTATGGCATACTGAATGGCACACACAGCTTTGCGTGTATACTCAGGGTGCTGCAGCCGACGCGATGTAGTCGTGACCCGCGGATTGAACCCTAAACCACCACATTAGGCCACGACCAGACATCAGCTGTGACATTGAAATCTACGGGACTCCTTTTTTTGCCAGTACCGTATCAAGATGATGAAATGGAAGTAAAATAATGAGAATAATAATAATAGGCTTTACCCTTTCCGGCAATAGTACATCCAGGAGTTGTGTTAAGGTGTCCAATGAATAGACACGCAGATCGCAAGCCATCATGAACAAGTCTGCATTAACCACGCATCGTGCTTGTGGCAAGAAAACGTCTCAAACAAACATGCTCTGTTTCGATTTAAAGCTTTCGTGACTGCAGCAGGGATTCATCTTCTTGGTTCTTTCGGTAAAGTCACGTAGAATGGAAATAGTAAAATAATAAAAATAAAACATAATAAAATAACAAGCTCTGATAGGAATGTGGGCATGGTCCTTGAAACGGGTTGACCTCCACGAGAGACGACAGGCGAGATGGGGGGGTGAGCGACTCCATCAGCGCCCAGGGGCAATGCCGCACGTGCCAGAGGGTGGACAACTCGGGGGTGGGGGGGTGAGCGACTCCATCAGCGCCCAGGGCAATGCCGCTCGTGGCAGAGGGTGGACAACTCGGGGTGGGGGGGGGTGAGCGACTCCATCAGCGCTCAGGGCAATGCCGCACGTGGCAGAGGGTGGACAACTCGGGGGGGGGGGGTGAGCGACTCCATCAGCGCCCAGGGCAATGCCGCACGTGGCAGAGGGTGGACAACTCGGGGGGGGGGGGGTGAGCGACTCCATCAGCGCTCAGGGCAATGCCGCACGTGGCAGAGGGTGGACAACTCGGGGGGGGGTGAGCGACTCCATCAGCGCCCAGGGCAATGCCGCACGTGGCAGAGGATGGACAACTCGGGGGGAGGGGGTGAGCGACTCCATCAGCGCCCAGGGTTATGCCGCAAGTGGCAGAGGGTGGACAACTCGGGGGGGGGGGGTGAGCGACTCCATCAGCGCCCAGGGCAATGCCGCACGTGCCAGAGGATGGACAACTCGGGGGGGGGGGGGGGGGGGTGAGCGACTCCATCAGCGCCCAGAGCAATGCCACTCGTGGCAGAGGGTGGACAACTCGGGGGGGGTGAGCGACTCCATCAGCGCCCAGGGCAATGCCACTCGTGGCAGAGGGTGGACAACTCGGGTGGACCAGGGCCACGGCAAACAGCGCGGGGGGCGGTTCGGAGGTGGGATGGAGCGCGTCCAGAGGCCCTCTTCGATGCTGACCCAGGCGGAGACGAGGAGGATGGGGGTGTTGTTCTGTTTGTTGTTGTTGTCCTTGTTGTTGTTGTCGTTGTTGTTGTTCTTCTTCTTGTTGCTGTTGTTGTCCTTGTTGTTGTTGTCCTTGTTGTTGTTCTTCTTGTTGTTGTTGTCCTTGTTGTTGTTCTTCTTGTTGTTGCTGTTGTTGTTGTCCTTGTTGTTGTTCTTCCTGTTGTTGTCCTTGTTGTTTTTATTGTTGTCACTGTTGTTGTTGTTGCCCTTGTTGTTGTTGTCGTTGTTGTTGTCGTTGTTCTTGTTGTCCTTGCTCTTGTTCTTCTTCTTGTCTTGTTGTTGTTGTCCTTCTCGTTATTGTCGTTGTCCTTGCTGTTGTTGTTGTTGTGGCAGCGTTACGCGACGCATAATTTCCCGGTCGGCCACAAGGGGGACCCCGAATCAACAGATAAACAAGTCAACGATGTTCAAGAATTTGTTTTTTTTAATCTTTAAAATTTATTCAATGAAAGTTTCCTGCGGCCTATCACCATGAACCAAGCACCACTAACCTGTCAACTCCTAACCAGTGCCCTACATCGTGACAGAGCAATCCACACCGTACTGGTCACCCCGTGACATTATCAATCTCAACTTTCATCCTACAAAGACCCATCACAAGTAGAGAAACACAAAAAATAAAAAGTTGTTTAACTCAATTTCCCTGCACAAGAATACGGATAAACAGTTTGGTAATAGGGGTTTCCCACCATTTTTTCTGGCAACAAAACAGGTGATAAGATTTCGATTTAAAGCTTTCGTGACTGCAGGGATTCATCTTCTTGGTTATTTCGGTAAAGTCACGTAGAAGGGAAATAATAATAAATAAACATAATACGATAAAATGTATTTTATTTTATAAGTAAATATGAAATATGTTTTATTTTTATTATTTTAAAAAAGAAAACATAATAAAAGAAAATGTATTTTACATAAAAAAAATATGTTTAATTTTTTTTACTTTATTTTTTCCCTTCTACGTGACTTTACCGAAAGAACTAAAGAGGTGATAGGATGTTAAAACACCAAACTGACACCTTTTACAAGGAGTCATGTCTGCATTAACCACAAGACTTCTAGTCAGAATGCAAACAATAAACACACGATCTAACCCAAAACAAACTCTATTATGGATACTAAAATCAGAATATGTATTTCTACTGCAGGAGGAGGAATCCGATTAGCTATGAAGCGCTTTTATCACAGATGTCCAGTCGGGGCTCGGGGTAAAAACGTTACAACAATCAACGCAACAACAAAAAAACGCCACGATATTAGTGCAAAGTATAAAGAAAGATTATCAAATCACCAAACACACAAACAAAGACAGCACCAAACCAACTTCTTGTGTGTCGGACGCGGCCTGGACACCGCTGACGACAGCTCAGCGAGTGGCTTCACAGCATCGTCGTCGTCGATGCGTGGACATTCACAGCAGACAAATAATGGCCTCGAAGCACGTGTCAGTGTACCACGTGTCCCAGAGTTCCAGTGTCTCAGTGTCCCAGTGTCTCAGTGTCTCAGTGTCCCAGTGTCTCAGTGTCTCAGTGTCCCAGTGTCTCAGTGTCTCAGTGTCTCAGTGTCCCAGTGTCCCAGTGTCTCAGTGTCTCAGTGTCCCAGTGTCCCAGTGTCTCAGTGTACCACGTGTCTCCGTGTCTCAGTGTCCCAGTGTTTCAGTGTCCCAGTGTCTCAGTGTCCCAGTGTCTCAGTGTCTCAGTGTCTCAGAGTTCCAGTGTATCAGTGTCCCAGTGTCCCAGTGTCCCAGTGTCTCAGTGTCCCAGTGTCTCAGTGTCCCAGTGTCTCAGTGTCCCAGTGTCCCAGTGTCTCAGTGTCTCAGTGTCTCAGTGTCCCAGTGTCTCAGTGTCCCAGTGTCCCAGTGTCCCAGTGTCTCAGTGTCCCAGTGTCTCAGTGTCCCAGTGTCCCAGTGTCCCAGTGTCCCAGTGTCTCAGTGTCTCAGTGTCCCAGTGTCTCAGTGTCTCAGTGTCTCAGTGTGTCAGTGTCTCAGTGTCCCAGTGTCTCAGTGCCCCAGTGTCTCAGTGTCCCAGTGTCTCAGTGTCCCAGTGTCCCAGTGTCTCAGTGTCTCAGTGTCTCAGTGTCTCAGTGTCCCAGTGTCTCAGTGTCCCAGTGTCTCAGTGTCCCAGTGTCCCAGTGTCTCAGTGTCCCAGTGTCTCAGTGTCTCAGTGTCCCAGTGTCTCAGTGTCTCAGTGTCCCAGTGTCCCAGTGTCTCAGTGTCTCAGTGTCTCAGTGTCCCAGTGTCCCAGTGTCTCAGTGTCTCAGTGTCCCAGTGTCTCAGTGTCCCAGTGTCTCAGTGTCCCAGTGTCCCAGTGTCTCAGTGTCCCAGTGTCTCAGTGTCTCAGTGTCCCAGTGTCTCAGTGTCTCAGTGTCCCAGTGTCCCAGTGTCCCAGTGTCTCAGTGTCCCAGTGTCTCAGTGTCCCAGTGTCTCAGTGTCCCAGTGTCCCACGTGTCTCAGTGTCCCACGTGCTCACTGCCACCACCAACAGGGAGTGAGGGGGGCCACCACACAATTTGAAACCGTCAGTTAGCGCTGCGAACCCGGCGACCCGAGTTCGATTCCCGCTCACGGCCACCACCGGTGACGACTATTCTGAACCGGTCCTGGTGCCTCAAATGAGTAGCTGCTGCGGTGTGTAGTAAACATCGCCACTGGGGAGACAAAGGCGGTCGGGCGTGGTTCCTACTACCCACCCCCTAGCGTGTTGTTTTGGCCTTCATAAGTGCTCGCTAACAGCACTTGCCCTTACAGTCTGTCAAGGCTACACGGAAAATCTTTGTATTTGTGGTGTAGTGCTAGCTAACAGCACTTGCCCCAACGGTCCGTTAAGGCTAACCGGAGGAATCTTTGTCTTTGTGGTTTAGTGCTCGCTAACAGCACTTGCCCCAACAGTCCGTTAAGGCTACCCGGGGGACCTTTGTCTTTGTGGTGTAGTGCTCGCTAACAGCACTTGCCCCAACAGTCTGTTAAGGCTACCCGGGGGAATCTTTGTCTTTGTGGTGTAGTGCTCGCTAACAGCACTTGCCCCAACAGTCTGTTAAGGCTACCCGGGGGAATCTTTGTCTTTGTGGTGTAGTGCTCGCTAACAGCACTTGCCCCAACGGTCCGTTAAGGCTACCCGGGGGACCTTTGTCTTTGCGCTCAGGCCGTGGCGAGCGGCCCCCGCGGCCCCGGGCGGCGTGGAGCAGGCGGCCACGCGGCGCGCCGCTCCGCGCACGAAGCCGCAAGGGACGAACGCCGCCAAGGCCGCCTCATCGTCCCCCCCATCATCACCATCACCACCCTCCCCCCCATAACCACCATCACCACCCTCCCCCCCATAACCATCATCACCATCATCCCCCCCATCACCACCATCATCGTTTGCGACCGGTGGCAGAGCGTCCCAGCCGCTGTCCGAGTTGGCGGCGGCGGCGGCGGCGTGGGGGGCAAAGGCTCGGGCCACGCCGTAGAAGCCGGGGGGGCTCTGCGTGTGGCGAGGGGGGGCCCCGCGGGGCGGCGAGGGGGGCCCACGCGGGCCTCTGGCCGGGCCCAGGGAGGCCGCCGCCTCCAGCGCGGGCCGCTCGCCGTGATGGTCGTGGTGGTGGTGGTGATGGCGGTGGTGGTGGAGATGGTGGTGGAGATGACTTTGCTGCAGTTGTTGGTGGTGGTGTTGGTGGTGGTTGGGGTGTTGTTGCTGTTGAAGGAGATGCTGCTGCTGATAATGATGATGATGGAGATGATGATGGAGATGATTGCTATCATCGTAGTCAGGGAGCTGCTGCTGATGCTGATAATATTCACGATGCTGCTGCTGCTGCAGCTCCAGCTGTTGCTGACGGTGCTGATTATAATCTTGCCGTTGATACTGCTGATGACTCTGCTCGTGATCACGACGAGAACGGGGATGACGATGACGATCATCGTCATCGTCATCAGCACCACCATCAGGATGATCGCCACTCGCTCTCCACTGCGCCCCAGGACCTCCGTCACTGCCACTGACCTCCGCCTGCTCGTGCCGCCCGGTCTCGAGGGTCAGCGAGGCGACGTCCTCGAGGTCACGCTGCCGGTCAAGGTCACGACCCCCGGCTGCCTTGGCTGCCTCCATCTGCGCGTACTTCCTGCAGAGACACGTGGCGAGGCGCGCGGTCTCGAGGAGATGATCGGCTCAGGGGGATTCACTCGGGACGCTGGTTTCGAGTCTTCGGATTTTGGGTCTCATTCGCCCACGCAGCCAATGCGCTCGCTCTCACACAGCCACGAAGTCAGCCGCCCATTCGGTTGGCTGCGCGCGGTGCGTGGATTCACCAACACCCCCACGAACACAAAGACAAAGATTCCCCCGTGTAGCCTTAACAGACTGTCGGGGCAAGTGCTGTTAGCGAGCACCTATCAAAGCCGGCACGGCACACGAGGGGGTGGGTGGCTAGCACCACGCCCGGCCGCCTTTGTCTCCCCAGTGGCGATGTTTACACACCGCACCAGGTACTCATTTGAGGCTGAGTCGACCTAGGGGAGGAGGCCCATGACCGGTTCAGATAATCGTCACCGGTGTTGGCCGTGAGCGGGAATCGAACCCGGGTCGCCGGGTTCGTAGCGCAGCGTAGCGCTAACCGCTACACCACCGCTCCCCCTAACACCCCCATCCACTCACCCGCATCATCGCCGACTTCGCTCACCTACTAACCCACTCACTCACCCACTAACCACACCCACCCACCCACCCACTCACCCACCCATCCACCCACCCACCCACTCACCCACCCACCCACCCACTCACCCACCCACCCACCCATCCACCCACCCACCCACCCACTCACCCACCCACCCACCCACTCACCCACCACTCACCCACCCACCCATCCACCCACCCACCCACCCACTCACCCACCCACCCACTCACCCACCCATCCACCCATCCACCCACCCACTCACCCACCCATCCACCCACCCACCCACTCACCCACCCACTCACCCACCCACCCATCCACCCACCCACCCACCCACCCACTCACCCATCCACCCATCCACCCACCCACTCACCCACTCACCCACCCACACACTCACCCACTCACCCACCCACCCACCCATCCACCCACCCACTCACCCACTCACCCACCCACACACCCACTCACTCACCCACTCACCCACTCACCCACTCGCCCACCCACTCACCCACCCACTCGCCCACTCGCTCACCCACTGATTATCTACCGTGCGAGCTGCCCTTGAACGAGAGGCTCCTCAGCTCACGGGGCTTGAGTCGGGGCCACCGAACCCCTCGCTGTGATTCTGACTCGGCGTTGATTCTCGTTTGGGTCAAAGAGGTCACAGCGACGCCACTCCACCGCCCTCGAGCGCGACCTCGCGGGCAGCCCAGAGGCATCAGCGTGGACACCCCTTGCTGATGCTCAATCCGTTGTTGCTGCTGCTGCTACTGGGAATCGATCATCTCCCCCCCCCCCCATCTCTCTGCCCCAAGCTGTCAACCCCTTATCAATGTCCTGCCTCATCACAGACCAACTCAGACCTTATTGGCCACCCCGTGCCCTTTCTAAATCTCAACGTTCATCCTACAAAGTCCCATCACAAGGGACAAACACAAACACAAATAGATATTTAGGAAAAATTTGCCCCGTGTTGAAACGGCTGAAACGCCGTATGGACCTGAAAACTCAATGTCCCTGTACAAGAATACGGGGTAGACCGTGTGGGTTGACACGGTGTGACACCCCCCCACCTCCCTCCCCCCACCTCCCCCCACACCCCTCCCCACCCTCCACACCTCCCCACCCACCTCCCTCCCTCCCAGCCCACCACCCCACACCTCCCCCCACCCCCACACCTCCCCCCCCCACCCTCCACACCCCCCCACCCCACTCCCCCACCTCCCCCACCTCCCCCCACCCCCCCCCCACACCCCCCACCTCCCCCCACCTCCCCCCCACCCCCCACACCTCCCCCCCCCACCCTCCACACCTCCCCCCCCACACCCACCCCACCCACCTCCCCACCTACCACCCCCCACACCCCCCCCGCACCCCCCCCCCCACCTCCCCCCCACCTCCTCCCACCTCCCCCCCACCTCCCCACCCCCCCACCCCCCCACCTCACCTGCAGATCTGGTTGTGCAGGAACCTGCGGTGGTTCACGCGCCGCTTGGAGGAGCGCGCGCGGCGCGGCCGCTGCAGCGTGCGGATCACGTGCACGAGGCCGCCGTGACGAAGGTGAACAGCTCACGGCCGCGCTCCACCACGGCCAGGTGAGGCTGCTGCTGCTGGTGAGGGTGGTGGTGGTGAGGGTGGTGAGGCTGCTGCTGCTGGTGCTGGTGAGGGTGGTGAGGCTGCTGGTGAGGCTGCTGGTGAGGCTGCTGCTGCTGCTGCTGGTGAGGCTGGTGGTGAGCCTGCTGGTGAGGCTGCTGCTGCTGGTGAGGGTGCTGCTGCTGGTGCTGGTGAGGCTGCTGGTGAGGCTGCTGGTGACCCTGGAGCTGATCCTGCATGTGATGCTTATGCTGCTGTGGTTGTGGTAGTAGTGGGTGGAGGGGTGACTGCTGTTGCTGTGGTTTTGGTAGTGGTGGGTGGAGGGGTGACTGCTGTTGCTGTGGTTTTGGTAGTGGTGGGTGGAGGGGTGACTGCTGTTGCTGTGGTTTTGGTAGTGGTGGGTGGAGGGGTGACTGCTGTTGCTGTGGTTTTGGTAGTGGTGGGTGGAGGGGTGACTGCTGCTGCTGCTGTGATTGTGGTGGGTGGAGGGGTGACTGCTGCTGCTGTTGTGGTATTGGTGGGTGGAGGGGTGACTGTTGTTGTTGTGGTTGTGGTGGGTCGAGTGGTGACTGCTGCTGATGGTAGAGTTGTTGTTGGGGCTGTTGGTAGCGATGTTGTTGTTGTTGCTGTTGTTGTTGCTGGCGGTGTTGGTGGTTGTCTGTAACTACCATCTCACTTCGCATCGACATCAGAGCAGCCGTGACTGCGTGTGCGTAGGTGTGTGTGTGTAAGTGTGTGTGTGTGTAGGTGTGTAGGTGTGTGAGTGTGGATAGGTGTGAGTGTGTGTAGGTGTGAGTGTGCGTAGGTGTGTAGGTGTGTGTGTAGGTGTGTGTGTGTAGGTGTGTGTGTGTGTGAGTGTGTGTGTGAGTGTGTGTTTGAGTGTAGGTGTGTGTGTGTGTGAGTGTAGGTGTGTGTGTGTAGGTGTGTGTGTGTGTGCGTGTGTATAAGTGTGTGCGTGTGTGGGTGTGAGTGTGTGTGTAGGTGTGAGTGTGTGTAGGTGTGTGTGGGTGTGAGTGTGTGTAGGTGTGTGAGTGTGTGGGTGTGTGTGTGTGTGGGTGTGAGTGTGTGTGTGTGTGTAGGTGTGTAGGTGTGAGTGTGTGTAGGTGTGGGTGTGCGTAGGTGTGTGTGTGTGTAGGTGTGAGTGTGTGTAGGTGTGAGTGTGTGTAGGTGTGTGTGTGTGTAGGTGTGAGTGTGTGTAGGTGTGAGTGTGTGAGTGTAGGTGTGAGTGTGTGTGTGTAGGTGTGTGTGTGTGTGTGTGTAGGTGTGAGTGTAGGTGTGTGTGAGTGTGTGTAGGTGTGGGTGTGTGTAGGTGTGAATGTGTGTAGGTGTGTGTGTGTATGTAGGTGTGAGTGTGTGTAGGTGTGTGTGTGTAGGTGTGTGTGTGTGTGAGTGTAGGGGTGTGTGGGTGTGAGTGTGTGTGTGTAGGTGTGAGTGTGTGTGTGGGTGTGAGTGTGTGTGGGTGTAAGTGTGTGTAGGTGTGTGTAGGTGTGTGTAGGTGTGAGTGTGTGTAGGTGTGTGTGCGGGTGTGTGTGGGTGTGTGTGTAGGTGTGAGTGTGTGTAGGTGTGAGTGTGTGTAGGTGTGTGCGTAGGTGTGATTGTGTGTAGGTGTGTGCGTAGGTGTGTGTATAGGTGTGAGTGTGTGTGTAGGTGTGAGTGTGTGTGTAGGCGTGAGTGTGTGTAGGTGTGTGTGTAGGTGTGAGTGTGTGTGTAGGTGTGTGTGAGTGTGTGTGTAGGTGTGAGTGTGTGTAGGGGTGAGTGTGTGTAGGTGTGTGTGAGTGTGTGTGTGTAGGTGTGAGTGTGTGTGTAGGTGTGAGTGTGTGTAGGTGTGTGTATAGGTGGAGTGTGTGTAGGTGTGAGTGTGTGTAGGTGTGTGTGAGTGTGTGTAGGTCTGAGTGTGTAGGTCTGAGTGTGTGTAGGTCTGAGTGTGTGTAGGTCTGAGTGTGTGTAGGTCTGAGTGTGTGTGGGTGTGAGTGGGTGTGAGTGTGTGTAGGTGTGAGTGTGTGTGTAGGTGTGAGTGTGTGTGTAGGTGTGAGTGTGTGTGTAGGTGTGAGTGTGTGTGTGTAGGTGTGAGTGTGTGTGTGTAGGTGTGAGTGTGTGTGTGTAGGTGTGAGTGTGTGTAGGTGTGAGTGTGTGTGTGTAGGTGTGAGTGTGTGTAGGCGTGTAGGTGTGAGTGTGTTTAGGTGTGGAGTGTGTGTAGGCGTGAGTGTGTAACTGTGTGAGTGTGTCACTGCATGTGTGTAGATGTGTGTGACTGTGTGTGTAGATGTGTGTGTGTAGATATGTGTGTGACTCAGTATGTGTGAGTGTGTCACTGAGTATGTGCCAGGCTAGGTGCACTTTGAGGCCACGTGAAGTGTCGAAGGCTCGCTGCTGACAGGAGGTCACGGGGCAGACCCAGCAGATGCCACGGGTCGACTGACCGAGATGACCGAGTTGACTGGCTGATGCACCACCTGTGCCCCCTACTGTGCCAACTTGCTGTGCTTTAGCCACCTGACACTCCGCTCGCTGTTGTGAACGTCGCTCCTCTGCCCTCCGTTGTTGCTGGAGGGCGACTGCCTCAAACTGCCGAGTAGCAGCAGCAACGTCCTTCACGAGCCTCCTCCACAGAGGCCGATCTTGACACCGCTGGTACCGCTCTTCGGCAAGTCCACTCAGCTCCACGTCCTCCTGTACGGCGTCAGCTCCGTCTCTTCTCCAGCCCGTGCCGCACTCGTTTAGCCCCCCTCCCCCCTCTACAGAAGCTGCTTGGGTAGGCGGTGGCTGGGCATGCGGCTACACAAACACACGCAGAGGCACACGCAGAGGCACACATCACAGCAACACTCAACATCAATAACAACCGCCATTCGCCACTAAGTGGCGGTGACGTCACCACGACGCTTGTGCCAGGCCTAGGTGCACGTTAAGGCCACGTGAAATTTTGAACGCCCGCTGGCAGGAGGTCACGGGGCAGACCCAGCAGGTGCCACGGGTCAACTGACTGAGATGAGTGGCCGATGCACCACCTGTGCCCTCTACTGTGCCAACTCGCTGTTTTAGCCACCCGGCGCTCCGCTTGT